GTTCCGGATAAATAGTTCGAATACGGTGAAAAAAATAGAAGCATAAAAACAGTTTGTAATAAAAAAAAAGTGTCACGATACCAACAGTAACAATAAACAGAAATAATAATAATGATAATAATTTCTAACGATTAATTTCTTGCAATTACACGGGCGAAGAAAATTTCACCCCCTCGAATACACGCAACATATACATATTTATATATTTATACATAAATTTCTTCTTTCATATATATATATTAAAACAATCGCTAAAAAATATAAATATATATATATATAATTCTGACCGTTTGACGGCTAGCTGCCTATGTAGGGCTGGACGGATGCAACGTAGTAAGTATTTATTTATAATTCATCCCTAGATAGAGACGCTAAGTTAAACTTAATGAAGTGTACAAAGAAAGGAGAAAGGTTAAATTAAAAATGAAAATAATGGGAAAGGTAGAAAACGTATCACGTATCCTGCGACTTCTATGACGCACGCCAAGTTATTACTGGAATTTCTTTCTATTATAGGAGCTTTGTGCAACATTCGAATAGCTCAGTGGAGGCAATTATCAAGGTTTAACCCCTTGCCTTACAATATTTCTCGCACGTGACGTAATTATTGAAATGCGATGAATCTCACATTTTCACCACGATTCAATTTCGCGTTTAATTTTAATTCTTACCCCTCCACCATACATGGTGTCTCACAATTAGTGTAGGTCCCTGAAATGGAGGGTAGCTGACGTGATTCTGAATAAGATTTCCCTTTGCAAAAATGGGATTTGAAGCTTCGTTTCTGAATTATTAAGGAAAAACGTGAACCAATCAGAGCGCGAGGATTACGCACACTCAGCCATTAGGCTCGAAGCTGTCGCTCTCGCGTCTGCGCATGCGTAATCCTTGCGCTCTGATTGGTCCGTGTTGTAGGATTTGTACATTTGGTAATTTAGAAATCCAAAAATTAAAATTTGAAAGATGTGTACTTTTAAAGCTTAAAAAATATAAAAAACTTGAAAATTTAGGAATCAAGATATTTAAAACATTAACGTCCATGTGTCACGGTACTAACGCGTTTGTTTACGACCACAGTCCCTCACGCTCAAACCCATCACTACCTCGTTCGTTGGTGTCTTTCGTTAGTAATTCAAAAACGAAGCTTCAAACCCCATTTTTCCAAAGGAAAATTTTATTCAGAATTACCTCAGCTACCTCCCCTTTCCGGGAGTTACACGAGTTGTGAGACATCCTGTCTAGGGACTACTTAAATTGAAAATTAAAAATACTTTTATTGCTATTAACGGGTTGAATAAAGAAAATTTATATAATTGCATTTAGAAGTGATTAAAGAATTTGTTTTGAAATTATAGTAGATATTATTTCAAGGTTATTATTTGTGAAAATAATTTAGATGTTCAATTTGTGAGACACCCTGTATATTCGATACTTTAGAAGCTTTATATTTTATGATTAAATAATATTATATATTTTAGTGATTAGAATTATTGTACAATATGTATATTAAGGTACTTGTTTCTTTAGACTGAATGTGTAAGAATCATTTAAAGATTGATTATTTAGAAAGAAATGGCAGGAAATAAAATTATTGAGTTATATGACAGTGATGGGTAAATTAAGTGTGTAGGTACGAGACTAATATTAATTTACAAATTGGGATGATTGAAGATTTAGAAAATTTTGAAACCCAGTTTGTGAATTTAAGAGTTTAGATATTTGATAATATAGAAATTTAGAAATTTTGAAACTTGAAGAATTGGAAATTGAAAATTATGGAATTTGGAAATTTAAAAATCTACAAATTTATTAATATAGAAACTTCAAAATTTCAAAATTTCGAAATCCTAAAAATTGAAATCTGAAAATTGAGAAATTTGGAAATTTAGAAACTCGATAATCAGAAAATACAAAAATTAGAAATTTTAAATTAGAAATATTTGGTAATTAAAAAATTTAGTATCTAACCTCTCAAAACCTGACAATTTCCAAATTTCCAAATGACAAAACATCAAATAATCAAATCAAAAAAATAACTACCCATCACTGCTACAAGCTAACCTAATAAAAAAAAATTCATTACAAACATTTTTTTCAAATATTGAGCAAACATATCCGCAACAGTCTTAGCCACAAAAACTTTTAACCGAACAATACTTAACAACCTAATTTTTTAAATAAATGCAAATTAATAAATGTATGGACGGTACAGTTTGAATATAATTACTCAACATTTATAGAATACGATATACATAATTAATAAATTTTTGTATCGAATAAATAATTTAATGTACACTTAATAGACTCCTACATTCAGTATTTCGCAGAAAATCATAAATTCATTGATCAAATGTATAGAGCGCTCATTAAAATACGCAAGTTAATGCATTCTCAATGAAATTCATTTGATTTAATTCGTACGTTTCGAATTCCAGTAATAACGTGTGGCCTCTCGTTCATTTAGCGTCACTAATTATTCGCAGTATCCTCGACTTAGCATCGATTATCGCAATTTTACACTTAAAAAATGGGCGATAATTAACATTATCCGATTAGATTTGCTCTTTTCAACAACGTAATACTCTGTAACGATATGCTGTTCCAACCGTGATGTCAAAGCAACAATCAACGTTTAAAACTTCTCTTTTTAGATAATAAAACGAGATCTCTCTCATTTGAAACAGTATCTTCTATTTTATTTGTAATTAAAATATCTCTCTTTTTTATTATTGGAACGGTTAAAACTATTTGTTTATTTTACATGAACGGTGACTGTCGTGGTAAATGTTCTGTGTTCAAAATTTATGTTAATTGAATAGCTAATAACTAGTAAATTATTCATTAATGATTTTAGTGATGTTTCTTTTGTTATTTTAATAATACTTCCTTTAAAAATTGATTATAGATTTGTTTAGAATTTATCTACATTTTATTTAGAATTTATCTAGAAATTATCTAGAATTTATCTAGAATTTATCTAGAAATTATCTAGAAATTATCTAGATTTTATCTAAATATTATTTAGATATCATCTAGATTTCATCTAGAATTTATCTAGAAGTTATCTAGAATTTATTTAGATAAATAATGGATTATTTATTAGTGAATAATTAATCTAATTAATCGAGTAACTGAATAATCTAATTAATCAAATAATTAATTAGACTCATTAAACACACAAGTTTGAATGAAAATTTAAATTCTTTTCACACTATTAACATTTCACTTTTATATTAGTAATGTGAATTACCAACCTACAAAATTTGTCAACTGTTGCAGAATTTTTATTGTTAATAATGTATATCCTTAATAAAAAAAAAAGATTAAAATGAAATTTATGTGAAATTGTGTAATATAAGTAGTCATTTTTCCCACGACAGTCAACGTGTTAATTGAAATGTCAATTGTCAATTTTCAATCAAATCGAATTGTCAATTATTAGTTGACATTTTTATCGCAACAGTCAACCTGTTAATTGAAATGTCAATTGTCAATTTTTAATCAAATCAAATTGTCAATTATCAATTTTCAATCAAATCAAATTGCCAATTATCAATTAACATTTGTATCACGACAGTCAACGTGTTAATTAAAGTGTCAATTGTCAATTTTTAATCAAATCGAATTGTCAATAATTACTTGAATTAAATTGTCAATTTTTCATGTAAAGTAAATAAAAAGTGTGTTTAAATCAAGATAAGAAAGAAGAAAATAATCATAGTAACATGATATAATTTATGTCCACTCGTTTGATAATCAAACGATAATTATAATAAGATAAAGTAGATAATGTAGATATCTATCTATTATCTAATGTAGATAATCGATAAGGATTGTCGTTCCAGATTTTCATTATTTTCTACGAGTATCAAACATACTAAAACTCGAATCAGTGACTGTCAATTCTGTAAACCTTCACATACTTCTTTAAAGTATGTGAAACATTATTACTTCATCTTTATTTACATTTTTATCATATTTTATTTTAAAATGATAAAAACATGAATTTTTTTAGTTTTCTTAGACGAAGGTTTTAGTTTTTGTCATAATACTGAAACTGTTTCTGTAAAGTTGTCAAAGGTTCGAAACATAACCTTCAAAGTAAAGGTTTCTGAAACATAACCTTCAAATTAAAGGTTCTTGAAACATAACCTTTATATTGAAATATAATACTAATGATGCTGAAATTATTGGATATTTTTGGGTTTGAAGTTGAAGTATATCAAATATCAAGGTTTAAACTGTTAACTGAGACATGTTTTATGATGTATTATTATATTCTAAATTAATGAAGTGACTCTTAAGAATTTAGGTTAGGTATGAATTTTCAGTGAATTTCAGTAGCAATTGTATAGGAGGCGGTTTTAGTGATATCTAGGTATAAATAATATTTATCCAAATTTCCAAGTTTCTAAATTTCCAAATTTCCAAATCCCTAAATTTCCAAATTTCCAAATTTCTAAATTTTCAAATTTCCAAATTTCCAAATCCCTAAATTTCTAATTTTTCAAATTTCAAAATTTCCAAATCCCTAAATTTCCAAGTTTCCAAATTTCTAAATTTTCAAATTTCCAAATTTCCAAATCCCTAAATTTCTAATTTTTCAAATTTCAAAATTTCCAAATCCCTAAATTTCCAAATTTCCAAGTTTCCAAGTTTCCAAGTTTCCAAGTTTCCAAATTTCCAAATTTCCAAATCCCTGAATTTTTAATTTTTCAAATTTCCAAATTTCCAAATTTCCAAATCCCTAAATTTCCAAATTTCTAAGTTTCCAAATTTTCAAATTTCTAAATTTCCAAATTTCCAAATTTCTAAATTTCCAAATCTCTAGATTTTCATATCCCTAAGCTACTAAATCCTGAAATTTTCAAACCCCTAAATTTGCAAACCTCAAATTTCCGAATCCCTAAATTTCCAAATTCCAAAATTTGAAATTTGTAAATTTTCAAATACTTAAACTTCCATATTCTAAAATATTCAAAAATCTAAATTTCCAAATCTTTAATCTCCCAAATTCTCTAATTTCCAAATCTCTAATTTTCCAAACCCTCAAATTCCAAAATTGGTCTTCACAACCCCAAAAAGTAGTCATCGAAGCACCTCAGACTAGCTCCAAATATAATCCACATACTCATGAGTGGATTATATCCACATACACACATCTATCACATACACTAAATTTACAACAAAGAATCTTCTACTAAATGCACAATTACATATTCCAATAACAAATAAAACTTTCTCAGTTAACAGTTTGCTTCACATAAATATTTTATCACCGAAAGAACTATATATTTCATCAACTGAAATATATGTATACTTCATTATAAACTAAAATATTTTGACTTCCTCACAAGTAACCGATCAAAATTAAAAATATGCATTATCCCTTACTCGAGTAGCTGATTCTATTAATAGGATATCAAGTTACATCCTCGATAGTGTTCTAAAGTAAGTCGAACTCGTTGACAGTCGATCGCGTGAGGCAAACAGACCGCAAAGGGTTAAATTCTTGTTGCTCACGGCTGGAACCGCTGGGAACTTAAAATGTAATTTCACCGAACACGGCTGGCTAATTCTCTCGATTCATGGACGACCAAGAAATTTAACTCCGACGACGTCGTTCTTTCAGTACGTTAAGGTTTTTCATGATTTGCGTTGCTTTATGAAAGCGAAACAAGTGAAGAATATTTGAAATACCGTAAGGAGGGCGCGTATTGATGTCTACCCACAAGATGGCGCGTACTGATATCTACTCACAAGATGGCGCGTACTGATGTCGACACAAGATGGCGCCGCATCAAAGTAACAGAAGCTCTATATATCGTGAATAGTTACATTTTAGTTACATTTCGGCAGAAAGAATTATGATATCAACTGCAAGTTTTAGAGTTTAATTTTTTTACATAAATTTGTGATATCAAGTATTTATGTATTTTCATAATATTATCATAATTCTTCAGAAAGTTTAAAAATTTAATTTTTCTAAATAAATTTATTATCCTATGAAAAAGTTCTGCATTAGTTTTTATATTATGTAATATCAAAAAATTAAAAAATGTATCTTTCCCAAATGTGAATGCAAGAAATGTTGAAGAATCCAGACATCTCCATACTTCAACAAAATTTCAAAATACCAACTTAATTAGAAATATCTGTCTCTTTGAAAACCATGTAATATTTGAAATATTCTTCGTAACTTACGAATGAAATATTTTGCATAATTCGCAAAGTAAATTAATTTACTGTCATAGTCTTCCATCTTGTAGTAAACAAAATTACTCTGACAAGCAAGCTACCATTTTACAAATATTTGAAAGAACAGAAGGTCGAATGCTATAAGATTCATCTCTCTTTTCGGTGCAATCATCAAACATCAAAATGCAATTTCTGTTAATAAACGGAAGCAACGCAAATCATTCCGCCAACTTACCAGGCACGCGCATTGCACGTTCACGAGAACAACGCCTTGAATCGAAGGTCACGATACGTCACGACGTCGTTGGAAATTGTAGTCGGAGCAATTTCCCGCGATTGCTTGATCAGTTTTAACAGGACTCATTTCCTGCGTCTTCTTGCTCGTCCACCTACGATAACGTTATTTCCATTTCGAACTTTCGGTCTATCGACGATTCTCATCGTATTATCAGAAAACTTCCGAGCTTCGCTGAGAATCGTCGAGTTCTACGTAAAAAATTCTGTCTATTCGTAAAAATCCGTCAACGTTGAACACATCTTCCGACAAGACTCTCCTGCCTCCGAAAGCGAGTACAAAAATTCCTCGACAACGTCGGTAACTCGATTCTGACGACACGACGGAAATTGCTTGTAACTTATCGATTTCAGACGTCGACTCTGTATTTTCTCGTCCTGCGACGAGAAGCGTTAACGTTACACTTCCGTCGAGTGTGTCTGAATTCGCACTTTCTTTTGGGAACCGTTCCTCGAAAGGGTTGGACTGTGTGCCGAGAAACCGGGGTTGTGGATACCGAGGGGTTTCGGCTTCTTCAGGGAACTGCGAAGAGGAGACGCTGTGCTGGCAACGCTTCCTGAAGTTGCCACCGACACCATCGAACCATTTCCAGCACCGCCAACGTATGGTTTGCCACTGGCGTCGGTCATTGATATACTTCCACCTGAAAATACAAGTTTTTCGAGATGTTGAATATGGGGTCATCAAGAATGCGTTTGATCTTTTCATGAACTTCAGTTATGATATTGATTAACAGACTTGGACCAACAAGATGTTTACATTAAATCTAATCAAGTAAATGACTGGTTTTAGCTTCCATATTTTGCATTAATTTTATAAAATATTTGGAGATCACCAAGACAGTGTTTGTGACCATTTGATAAAGTTTTGTTACAAGTGCAACCTACAGAGTAGGGCTAATAAGATTTTAATATTAGAAGTAGTCCAAATGATTGGTTTTAGCTAACATATTTGTATCAATGCTATCACAAGTTTGGAAATGAATAAGACTGTTTTGGATCACTTGATACATTTCAGTTAAGATTGCAATCTACAAGATCAATAAGATTTTGACACTAGAACTAATCAGACAAATGATCAATTTTAGCTTTGATATTTTGTATCAAACTTATCAAAAGTTTGGGAATAGTAAGACAGTGTTATTGATCATTTGGTAAACTTCAGTTACAATTGCAATATATAAATTAGGACCAACAAGATTATAACTATAGAACTGGTTTAAATGGTTTTAGCTTCCATATTTGTATCAATGTTATCAAAAGTTTGGAAATGAGTAAGACTGTTTTGGATCACTTGATGCATTTCAGTTAAGATTGCAATCTACAAGATCAATAAGATTTTGACACTAGAACTAATCACACAAATGATCAATTTTAGCTTTGATATTTTGTATCAAACTTATCAAAAGTTTGGGAATAGTAAGACAGTGTTTATTGATCATTTGGTAAACTTCAGTTACAATTGCAATATATAAATTAGGACCAACAAGATTATAACTATAGAACTGGTTTAAATGGTTTTAGCTTCCATATTTGTATCAATGTCATCACAAGTTTGGGAATGAGTCAGACAGTGTTTTGGATCATTTGATACATTTCAGTTAAGATTGCAATCTATAAGACCAAGAAGATTTTGACACTAGAACCAACCATACACATGATCAATTTTAGCCTCCACATTTTGTGTCAATCCTATCAATAATTTGCGAACAATTAAAACATTTGTAATTTGAACAGTAACTCGACCAACTTGAACAGTTAATATCTTATTAAAAGACAGCAGTCATAATCACGAATAAAGAATAGTCGTCTTCCACAAAAGTTCTCTAACTCAATTTCAATAACAAATTTCAGCCATCCAAGATTTAAAAAGTAATTTCAAATTGTATCAAACCGAATGACGAATGTGAGTTACACTTCGAGCGCAAAGGGTTAATATCAGGGGGACCGGAAAGTAATATCGTTTCTGCGTATGTCAATATTTGACCGTCATTTATCAGCTCACTGTGCACTTTAATATCGTGCTAGACATTTGAAGGTTTGACTTGTTTACTTGTAAATAATTAAATCTTAAATTTTTTTTGGTGATTTTATGTGAATGGGCCAGATACCAGAAGTACTCATCCGCCATTGTATGCGTTTTGAGTTCCTCAAGGGTACAGTTGCCACCAAAAACATTTGTGATGTTCATCCAAGTGTTAATGTCAAACGCTTTCCATTTATTCCGATCGCAATACTTTCCAGTGACAGAAAATTTGAAAATTTTTATGACATTCAAAATGCCATCTCCAGTTATTTTGCTTGAAAACCAATTGATTTTTATTGATCATTGAAAATTCGCACAGTGGATCGCAAAAGGTAACAAGGATGATTACATCGTTCGTTAAAAATAAAAACTTGTTAAAAATGTACTTGAATTTAATATAAAAAGACGATATTACTATTGTCCTATTATTTTAACAAGAAATTCATCTCGATCGACGCCTACACTAAGTTTGTATCCATGAAAGGAGATTTCGAGATTCGATGTCGAAGGACCTTCATTCGGCAGCTGGTGGAAACTCAATATGCTCGAGAAGTGTCTTAGAACGTGAAGGTGATGGTAGTCAAGGTGACAGAGGAGAAGATAGACAAAATACACAAGAGGGAGAAGAGGAATAGAGAGAATACCGATAGAAACTTTCGAAGATAGGGGACGATATGAAGTTTGGTGGAACAAGTGAAACAAGCAAAACAAACAGTAAGAGCAGGGAACGAGGTAGTACGTGTCAGGATATACGTAAAAGAAGTGGACAAATAAGAAGGAAGTTTGTGTAAGATGTAGAACTTAGGATGAACGTCTTATTTACGTTGTTATTGAAAATGATTAATGAATAGGTAAAACTAGTTGTGCACGAGATATTTTCTTGGTTTTATATTCTCTAAATAATATTTGTAGATTTATGCATTTTTAAATTCTCAAATTTTCGAGTTTTGATATTTTTAAATTTTCTAATCTTCGCATTCCTAAATTTTTAATTTCTCAAGTTTCCAAATTCTCAAAGATTTAGATACTTCAATTTCCCAAATATAATACTTCACAAAATCCCTAAATCCCTAGATTCACAAATGTCAAAATTCACAAATTTCCAAATATTCCTATCTCTAAATTTTCAAGTCTCTAAACTGCCAAGTTTTCAAATACCCAAATCTCTAAATTCCCAAGTTTTCAAATACCCAAATTTCTAAATTCCCAAGTTTTCAAATATTCAAATCTCCAAATGTCCAAATTCACAAATTTTTAATTTTTCAAGTTTCCAAATTCTCAACTATTTAGATACTTAAATTTCCCAATATTAAAATTTTAAGATTTCCACATATAAAACTCCTTTCAATCGCAAATTTCCTAAAACCCTAAAACCCTAAATTTCTCCGTGCCTCGATTTCTCGGAAACGGTTTAAGGTATTTATCAAACGCTTTCACGTATTGTTACGACAAAATTGAATCCCAAAAGTCAATCGCCTTGTTTCCAATTCTGAGCACGTGTTTTAAACGTTTTGTAACGTTTCGTCCTTTACCGTGAAATGTAGCTGTTGCTTCGTACGAAGCCTTTACACTGTGACCCAGTTATAACAGAAATTTTATTGATGCACGTACCCTTGAAATGCTAAATGAGCACGGAGAATACTGATTTGATTAAAGTGATTAAAGACTTACTTAGTTACAGATTATACTGCAAAGACATTTCTATTATGGAATAATATTATGCTGTTATTATACATTTTATTATATGATTATTTGTATTAGTTATTATTTTTTATTATTTAACCCTTACGTTAATATGTATTAATATGTTTAGGATTGTTCTATAATTGAGAAACAATGTAATACTTAATTATATTTTGTTGTGAAATATTTTTCATTTAAAAATATAAAGTTATTTAAATATATTAAATTAAATATATTTAAATATAATAATATTAAGTAAAATATTATAATAACATTAAAAATATTATTATACTATATTTAAATATTATTTAATTATATTAAGTTTTTAATATATTATTAAATATTATTTAAATATATTCATATAAATACTAACGACACAACCAATAATAATTCAATTCAATTAATGAATTATCTGAACAAGAATTATTAACAAAATTATATATGCAATGGGCTACCAATAATCAATACTCAATAATCAATCATCAATAATTATTTAATCAATAAACTAATCCTCTTCCTTGTTAATATCACCCTTGTAACTTCACTTCTAAATTTAGACAAAGAGATAACCTAAAAACACGACTAATTCCACGTACGTGTACTTCCCCGTAAATTTAACGAACGATAAAACCCTAGATTTGCGCAAATGGTTCAATTAAATGAATTGTAAATAAAGATACGAAGGACTACGGTAGAGAAATTCGGTGGTCAATGGAAATTAAATGTTCAATAAACTTACCGTTAGTGGGTTGATGTTCCCGGTAACCAGGATTATTTATGGTGGTTGCACGGGGATCACCGACAACCCTAATTTTCGTTGGATCTCCGCCTCGTCGAGCATAAATACCCTCGTACACTGCGGTGACCAACACACCAAAGTTCAGGGCAATTGCAGCTAACTGTAACAACAAATTTGGGTTTTTTTATTTCATGGCAATTTGTGGTTGTTTATTATAGTCATCGCTGTTTTTATTTCATGGCATTTTTATTGAAATTATTATGGTTTTTGAAAGTGTTTGAAATTTCTGAATTTTACAAATTTTAGGTTTGAAAGTTGGGAGAATTGGGAGTTTGGAGATTTGAGAATTTGGAAATTTGAGTATTTGGAAGTTTGAGTATTCGCAAATATGAGTATTTAGAAATTTGAGTAATTTGAAATTTGAGTATTTGGAAGTTTGAGAATTAGGAAATTTGAGTATTCGCAAATATGAGTATTTAGAAATTTGAGTAATTTGAAATTTGAGTATTTGGAAGTTTGAGAGCTAAGGAATTTGAGAATGTGGAAGTTTGAGTATTTGGAAGTTTGAGTATTTGGAAATTTGAGTATTAGGAAATTTGAGTACTTGGAAATTTGAGAATTTGGATATTAGAGCATTTGGAAATGTGAAAATTTGGAGATTTGAGAGTTTGGGGAATTGGGAGTTTGGAGATTTGAGAATTTGGAAATTTGAGAATTTGAAAATTTGAGAAGTTGGAAATTTGAGAATTTGAAAGATTTGAGGATTTGGTGAGTATAGAAATTTGAGGATTTAGACATTTGGAAGTTTTGAAATTACAGAATTTGAGAATTTAAACATTTGAGAGTTCCGAAATTTAAGAATTTGAGAATGTCCATATTTGTGAATTTGACAATTTAAAAATTTAAGAATGTAATAAGTTTGACAGTATGAGGGTTTGTATATTTGGTAATTTAGAAATCCAAAAATTAAAAATTGAAAGATGTGTACATTTCAAGCTTAAAAAATGTAAAAAACTTGATCATTCAGGAATCAAGATATTTAAAACATTAACATCAATGTGTCACAGTACTAACGCGCTTGTTCACGATCACAATCCCTTACGCTCAAACCCATCACTACCTCCTTCGTTGGTGCCTTTCATTAATAATTCAAAAACGAAGCTTCAGACCCAATTTTCGTAAAAGAAAAAGTTGTTCAAAACCACTTCAGCTACCTCTCCTTTACAGTTACACTAGTTACGAAACTCTGTGTATAAACCTGAGTTCAATTTTATGTATGTCGTACCGTCACGCAAAGACTACTAAGTATTCCTTCCTGAAATTTTGCACAGAGATAAATCTGATACCTCAGATGGTTTTGTGGTTATTAAAATTGAAGAAGAACTATAATGGTGCCACATAAATTTGAGTTTCGCCAGTTACGAGATGCTCTGTATATAAATCTGAGTTCAATTTTGTGCATGTCGTACCATCACTCCAAAACTACTGAGTATTTCTTCCTGAAATTTTGCACAGAGATAAATCTGATACCTCAGATAATTTTGTAGTGATTAAAATTGAAAAAGAACCATACTTGTCCCACATAAACTTGAGTTACACCAGTTACGAAACGCCCAGTATATAAATCTGAGTTTAATTTCATGTATGTTGTGTCATCATGCAAAAACTATTGAACATTTTGTCATAAAATTTTGCACAGAGGCAGATTTGATACCGTAGGTGATTTTACGGTGATTAAAACTGAAGAATCACTACTCTTGCACCACAGAAAATTGAGTTACAAGACACTCCGTCTAACAATTACCGTAACGCAAAGAGAAAAGCTTCCTACACACTGAACGTAATACAAAGTTGTTCTGAAATTCCTAAGTAGCCGCGATCTCTTCATTGTTCCATTTGAAACTCTTGTTTTTTCCAGCACGTTGAACAGTCAGTTTTCACGACAATTCACACAGACTCCGGGTGCTTACGAAACACCTCAGTAGCGGAGGAAAAAACATAGAAAAGGTCGGAGGAGAAGCGGAGTTTAATTAAGACACGCGGAGACGATGACCAGGAAGCCATTGTTTTGCGGTAACAATTAATTCAACCGTCGCTTTTTTTCTGCCATTGTGAGCAGATATCGCGTTCTAAAAGAAAAGAACGAAATAGTTGAGTTAACAGGCTGACGACAATTTAATTAATGACTTCGCTTCCTAACCAATTAGCATAATTAGTCAACTGCAATTTATGGGGCGACGGGAAAAGATCGGCAAGATATTTTCTGGTGAAATCGTTCGGTGCATTCGAGATGCAATAGAAAAAAACTTCTGAACTTTTTCAATTTAAGGCTGTCTTTTAATTTTTATGTATATACTTGAATAATAGTTATAATAAAAACAAATAACTACTTAAATTAGAGTTGCAATTCAAAATAAATATGTAGTTAAATAATAGTTATGGTAAAAACAAATATCTGCTTGAATTAGAGTTATAATTCAAAATAAATATGTAGTTAAATAATAGTTATGGTAAAAACAAATATCTGCTTGAATTATAGTTATAATTCAAAATAAATATGTACTTAAATAATAGTTATAGTAAAAACAAATATCTGCTTGAATTATAGTTATAATAAAAACAAATATCTCCTTAAATTAGAGTTATAAAATAAATGTTTACTTAAATAATAGTTGTATGAATAAATAATATAAATATATGAATATAAAATGAGTTAGAAAACAATTATAAGAACCATTTCAAAAGCATAAAATCAAATGTGACAAAACAATAGTACAATAATATTATAATAGTAATTGTAACAAAGCAAAATAATAATATTTATGAACTATTCAAAATAAATATGACAAAGATGTGTGCTTTTAAAGCTTAAAAAATGTAAAAACTTGAAAATTTAGGGATCAAGATATTTAAAACATTAACGTCAATGTGTCACGGTATTAACGCGCTTGTTCGCGATCGCAGTCCCTCACGCTCAAACCCATCACTACCTCGTTCGTCGGTGTCTTTCGTTAATAATTCAAAAACGAAGCTTCAAACCCCATTTTTGCAAAGAGAAATTTTATTCAGAATTACGTCAGCTATCTCCCATTTCAGGGACTTACACTACTTGTGAGACACCTTTGTATAAATCCATCATCTACATTATTAAAAATATGTTAAAAATATATTATCAAAAATTTGTTCACTAACTGAAAATACTTGTATTACTTGAAACTATGGAAAAACAACAAAATATTACGAAAATACTTCTGCAACAGATTCTAACACCTATATTACTAAACATTTGTTCACTTTTCTAACTTAAAATACTTTCCTTCCTCAAAAATTACTATAGAAACTAATTATAACGAAATATTTACCAAAAATAAAAATACTACTTAATTTTCAATCAATTCAGCGTGGTGATCAATATACCAAGCATTTGTTCTGACGTAAGTTTAAAATTGTTTGAAAGTTTATCACTAGCTGGATATAAAGTCTGTCCTAACTTGACGCCACAGTAAGTTGGATGGATTTTACCTTGCCCTGTTTCTGTTTATTCATTTTATCCAGCTCGATCTCATCCTTGGCCTCCCGTAGAAGGCTTCTTCTCTTCTTTTCCATCATCTCGGATTCTGGATTATGGCACGTCTGCGTAACAATCGTCGCGTAACAAGAATAGAGAGCACCTCATAAAATCTCCATATGTTTCAGCGTCCACTGTATATCTGTCGAGGATATGGCTGTTCCACGTTCGTTTAAATTCATGGATTTTTCAATACGGAATTTCAATGTTTGCTTCGTATTGTTAGAATTATTTATCACGAACTGGGTAATTTTGTACACCTCTCACTCGATTTAACTGTCACTTTCAACTATAATGTGTCTCGGAAGTTTTTACAATGTCTGTCTTTTCTTGTTCATCCTATCATGGCAATTGGAAAAATCATGACACGTAACCTAACACATAAAAATATGAGAAGAAATAAGTTGTGAGAGAAATTTTAACTGTTTGCACTCGAAGGTATTTTTGCTGTGAACAGATAAACTTAAAATTTTTTATTTTTTTAAATATTCTACATTTTTGATAGTTAAAGAGTTTGTTTAATTTATTTGAGATTATTATCTCTTTACTATTAATTATCTGCTTCACTGTGTTTATATACTATGTGCATAATATAGATTTAGTTAAAGAATAGTTTAACTAAATATTTGCTTTACTAAATCTACTTTTGAGTATAAAAATATTCAAATTATTGTTAATGTGGAAAATGAGTGAGTCACCTTTCGAGTGCAATTGATACTGTAAAATAACCTTTGAAATAGCTAGTATAATCCATGTATTATATTCATACAATACATTCAGAATATTTAATACGATTAATGAAATAATTTTGGTTGCAGATGATCATTATGAATAATTATAATTGTTCAACACTACTAATCAGATGATAGAAATTTTGTTTCCAATACCTATTATTATTTTATTATTATTTTACTTCACGGTGTTTCGCTTATTAATAATAATTGATTCACTCATCAATAATATTTGAACCGAAAAATATTTTTGTATTGTGTAAATATTTTTGTAATTGTGATATTGGTCATACGATAATCAACAAGAAGCTGTTTGCTGATAACAGCTATCAGTAATCAGAATAAAATGCTGGTCATGGATAATGATTGGCAACCCAAAAATTTTCCATCGACAATAACAATTGTTGACGAAAATTAATTTCTATCAATAATGATTGCTAGTAGTTGAAAAAATGTAATCGTTCATAATAGTCGTTAATAAACAAAACTATTAGAAATTAATGTGTTTCAATGAAAGTTTCTTTAAAAATTTTTGTCAAAATTTGTATTAAAAATTCTTTTGATAACTTGATTTAAAAATTGCTCTGACAATTTGTATCAGAAATTTTTTTGAGAATTTGTATTAACAATTTCTTTGACAATTTGTATTAGAAATTTCTTTGAGAACTTGTATTAAAAATTTGTTCAATATTTTATAAATTTTTATTAAAAATTTCTTTCAGATTCTTCACAACAGCTATTTGAATAAAAATAATTTGTTACTGAATAACTTTCTCGAAGAGAACCACGTGTATTTATAAATCGATCAAATTAACCACGTTATATTATTATAGTAACAGTGCCTTTACTTTATTTCGTTTTGTTTATTAATATTATAAACTTCGACGTAATCAAATACCCACGCCTTTATTTAATACAGATATTAACATATACAGCGTGGAATAGTTTGAAACAGCGATCGATTGCACTGTTCAACAAATTTCAACTTTTTATTTCTTCCGATATCCACTACGCATACACTATGATCAGAACCTACAAACTAGTTCTCTCTGTTACTTTCTTTTATTTTCCCTGGGGTTTTCAAAGATATAAAAAGATATAAAATTGCAAAAGAGCAAAAAAAGAAATATGTTACAAAAAACTCTGTGAAATTATTATAAAGTTTCATTACATTTCGATTTGTCAAAGCAATAATTAAAACCAATTACACGTGTATCAAGAGATAAATATTCAGTAGAACTATAATTTAGAAATGGTTTAAGCACGTATTAAAGAAAGAAAGGTCACTAAATATATTCGGAATAATAATTCAATCTAATCAAACGTACTCGAAAAATTATCAAACTTAATATATATTCACCAGAACAATAAACAAATTTTAGTATATAAAACACGTATTAAAAAAAGAAAGAACCACTAAGTACTTCTGTTCAGTAAAGTATCAATTAATTCCACATAAAGATTATGCATCGAATATAAATAATTCAACCAACTTAAACATACACAGAAAAAACCAAATCAATTCACCAGAATTGAATAAAACACGCAGCAGAAAAGGAAAGTACCACTCAACGCGTTCACCCACGAATTAGTATCGATTTCACGTACAAAGTGTTCATCGAACATTCATCGATCGATAACATTTGGGATATCCGTGATAAGATAACAAGGGAAAATCCAGGCTGCTATATCACCGTATATGGTTATATAAGAGAACTTGAATATAAAGTCGGGAATGAGGACACGAAGCTGACGAACGAACCGCACCAAAACGTTCACTGAGGGCCCAGCAATGTTGTCTCATTGTTTTTAAAGTGTCCAATAGTCGTGGGTGCTCTGACACATACTAAGCAATCCCCACATGGGTACTTAACGAGACACCTGCGGACTGTTCCTGATCAGGTGGCCTTTAAGTATTTAATTCCCCGATCATGAGCGCGGGTGTATAGGTTTCACACCTCGTTTGGGATCTGCGTACGTTGTTGGAAAGAAAAACGAGGATTTGCGATGATTCAGTTTTTAGTTATTGATGTAGTCTAGGAATGATATTTGTTGATATTGATACTTGTGGATGGAATGAAATGGGTGAAAAAGAAGAGTACTTTTTAGTACTGTCTTTAGTACTCTTTAGTACTGTAAGTCTACTAGGCTAAAGGTAAGCCTAATAGCCAACTAGCCTTACTAAGGTAAGCCTTAGGACCACTAGAAATTTTCAGCATCTTTCACATCTTCCATAAAATTAAAATCCCTGTCTAAATTGTAATGATATTTATTAGCTACTAACATAACTACTACTGTACATAACATTATCAACACATGTTAATATCTCGTATTTCCACCCTTCGCTTTGGTCACAGCTTCCGGCATGCTCTGTATACATCACATGCTTTACATCTTCATTATTTTCCCAAATATCTGTAATTCTTTTTAATTCAGATAATGTGGTTGGAGAGTTGTAAACTAGTCTTTTGAGTAGGCAGACATTTTCTATGGCATTCAAATTTCACCTGACGCGCTATCGATACTCGAGCCTGACGTAGACGCTCGCACTTCCCTTAATCGCTCATCACCCTCACAATTTATTATCACGATAGTAACAAATTGCTACGTATATATCGTTATCATATTTAGTAATAATTTTACGCGACCTAAGACAATTTTCCATGTGTGACATAATGTTGTAGTCATAAAAGTGAAATTTTTGTACGTGGTCCTAATTCGATGGCCAGGGACTGTAATGATAATGCATCACTCACAGGATAAACGTCTCTACTGCTGTTATTATAATAATATATACTATTTACAGTTATATGATAACGTATCATTCACACTATAAACGAATCCTAACGAATCATTTATAGTATAACTGTATCATAAATATCTCATTAGATAATGCATCACGTATAATAAAAATCAAACTCCATTAGATAAAATAAACTGTTCTGAATAAACAAGCAGGATTAATCAACGCGTTTAAAAGTCGCGAATCGGGAATATTAATCTGTATCGAAGTTTTTTATATCGACGGAAATTTTATCACTATCTCGTGTAGTATCGTCGAAGGATATAATAGTAATTTCTACGTTATCATATTCAGTAATAAGTTTGCATGACCTAAGACAATGTTTCATATGACTGTGCAATTAAATAGTATGTCATGGTGATTGTCTAGATTCATAAATGAGCTGAGGTTGATTTTTCAATTATAAATATTGTGGAATTAAGTAATGTGTCATCTATCAATTTTGAATTATCAACGTTGCTGAATGAAATAATATGGCATGTGTCAGTCATGAATTGTCTACATTCATAAATGAGATGTGAATCATGAATATTGTTGAACTATGTAGTATGTCATGTTGTATGTCATATTAATTGTGAATTATCAATGTTATTGAATGAAGTCCTAATTCTAATTTTCATATTACTAAAATATGTTAATTTCCATATTATCAATTTTTTAAATTTTTAACTTGTCAAATTCCTTAATGAGAAAATTCTGTGATTTAAAATTTCTCAAATACTTAATGAGAAGTTTCTGTGATTTAAAATTTCTCAAATCCTTAATGAGAAATTTCTGTGATTTTAAAATTCTCAAATCCTTAATGGAAAACTTCTGTCATTTAAAATTTCTCAAATCCTTAATAAGAAAGTTCTGTGATTAAAAATTTTTCAAACGCTTAATGAGAAATACCTGTAATTTAAAAATTCTCAAATCCTTAATTTGAAATTTCTCCAAAATCCTTCATTTGAAATAAATAACTAGAAGAATAATAATAAATTACAAAACCTTACCTGCATATAAAACGCTTCTCCTCTTGTGATAACGAAACTGCTGGCTCTATCGTCAGTCTGCAGGGCGAACAAACTCGCTGCTACGATGGCCAACGATGCTGCAAAATAAACAGAATATTCCAAATTTTCAAATGTGTCTTCAATAATTTTCAAACAATTCGTCTTTACAATCTAGATTTCAATATTTCGTTTACGTATAATAATTAAGATAATATTACGTTCACCTTATTCTTGTAACATATCAGAATATACACATTTAATGTAATATTCTTTATTTGATCGACCACAATTGAATGACCCTATACTTTCATATCTCGTGTCCATCACAAAACTCTAAAAACAAATCCAAATTCACTCACTCAAGTTACCAAAACAAACCAAATCACTCATCAAAAAATACTTACAAAACAAGTATTGAATTGTAAACAAGTAAATTGTAACAGTAAACATAAGAAAACCTTAAAAGTCTACAAACGTAAAAAATAGTAAAAGTCCACAAACAAGAAAATAAAAATATCAATAAAAAATCATTGATAAAATAGAACCCACAATTATTTCGGTCACCGCGTAACTCGGTCACAAAACACGATAAATATAATAGAAATAATAAAACGATTAAAGTTATTACAGAAGGATCTTGATAATACGAGGTACTCCTCTGAAATGGCGGTTGCTATTAAGTTCTAACTGATAGTGGCTTATCTTCATCTGCGAGGTACGGGTAAGGTGTTAAGGATACGTTATAGATAGCATCAGGAACTGGGAATTCATTCATTCATTCGGTGTAATCGAGTACGCGATCCTGTTTGATTCCACGAGTTTAGCACGTATTGCTTTACGGCAACAAGATCCACCGCAGATATTCGATTCTTCGTCTGAGGGTAAGTAGGCCACTAAGTAGACAAGTCGCTAGTAATTCTACCATGGTCAGGCTGTTGCAAAACTCTCAGGCTATCTTGGAGCCATTGACTGGAGATATAAGGAGACTGGTATGTCTTTGTTCTAGAGGGGACATTTGGGGTTTGGATGGATTTGGGAATTTAGGGATTTGAGGATTAGAGGATTTGAGAATTTGGGGATTTGGAAACTTGGGAATTTGGTACTTTAGGGATATAGGACTCTTGGAAGTTAGGGAATTTGGAGATTTGGGGATTTGGACTCTTGGAAGTTAGGGAATTTGGTGATTTAGGGATTTGGGGATTTGGACTCTTGGAATTTAGGGAATTTGGAGATTTAGGGATTTGGGGATTTGGACTCTTGGAAATTTGGTAATTTAGGGATACAGGACTCTTGGAAGTTAGGGAATTTGGAGATTTAGGCATTTGGGGATTTGGGTATTTAGGGATTTGGAAACTTGGAAATTTGGTAATTTAGGGATATACGACTCTTGGAAATTAGAGTATTTGGAGATTTAGGGATTTGGGTATTTAGGGATTTGGAAATGTGGAAACTTAGGAATTTGGTAATTTAGGGATATACGACTCTTGGAAATTAGAGTATTTGGAGATTTAGGGATTTGAGGATTCGGGGATTTGGGGATTTGGGTATTTAGGGATTTGGAAATTTGGAAACTTAGGAATTTGGTAATTTAGGGATATACGACTCTTGGAAATTAGAGTATTTGGAGATTTAGGGATTTGAGGATTCGGGGATTTGGGGATTTGGGTATTTAGGGATTTGGAAACTTGGAAATTTGGTAATTTAGGGATATACGACTCTTGGAAATTAGAGTATTTGGAGATTTAGGGATTTGAGGATTCGGGGGAAACTCGAGAATTTGGTAATTTAGGAATTTCGGAATTTGGGGATTTGGAAACATGGGATTTTGGTAATTTAAGGATTTGGGAAATTGGGAAATTTGCAAATATGAGAATTTGAGAATTTGCAAATTGGAAAATAGGGAATTTCGAACTTTGAGAATTTGGGAATTTTTGGATTTGGGAATTTTGGGAATTGGGAACTTGAGGAATCAGACAATTTGAGGCTTAGGGATTTGGGAATTTAAAAATGTAAGAATTTGGAAATTTGAAATATTGAAAACTGAGAAATTGGAAATTTGGGAATTTGAGAATGTAAAAATATCAGAATTTGAGAATTTAAGAACTTGGGAATTGGAAAATCTCAGAGTTTAAAATTTGGAAATTTGTTAATTTGGGAATTTGGGAATTAGAGAATTCGAGAATTTTGAAACTTTTGTATATGCGAAGAAAGAAAGAAGAAATATCTTCACTTATATAGTGAAGAAACTTCACTTATATCGTGTAATTCCCACACTGCTTGAAATATATCCCCCACAGAAAAACAATCGAAATAAACATCCAAACCTAACCTACCTAAACAATAAACTCCTACTACATCAATCACAATTCAAAAATAAAACTACATTTTTCATTTAATTCTTGAATCGTTTACCAAAATATTTTTAACATCTTCTCAATTAAAATGAGAGCAAATTTACTTGTAACTTTAGAGCTTCGCTTATAAAAATTATAATTGTATTGTTGAATAAGAAGCAAGTGTAATACGATAAGGTTCCGCAATTTATCAAAAGAACTTAAATTACCCAGACTAATTTGGAGTAGAGTAATCTGTTTTAAAGAGACTACGAATATTTTCACGGTCCGCTGTATTTCATCGCGAGCAGACAACGTCATTCAACTTTTCGTATTCATTTGAATTCAAATTTTTCAACGCTGAATAAAATTATCCCGATATCAGTCACGTGTATTCATCAGCGCGTGCCTCCGCATTTTATCACGGTAATTCTAATTCATAATATGTACTCTGTAATAACAATTTGCGCGATATTTCAATTTTAAATTTTTACTCGTTTACCTTCCGCTTATTTTTTATGTCTTTTTTTATGATGTATAGTGACATTTAGCTCTTTGGATAATAGGTTAGAAATGAAGTTTATGAGTGTTCTACAAAATTGTAGCCGTATCTACTGATCTATGTATTTAGAGTAGAAGTACGTTATTCGTTATGGTTGAAGAAGTGGTATAATTTTGTGGATAACCAGAGTAAGAAGGAACTGTTAAAAAGAGATGTGGCATAAATTCAGTTATGAACCTTCAAACTTTTAAACATGTAAATTTGTATATTTTGGGATATTTTAATACTAATTTCTTTAGATTCTTAGAGTGCAAAATATCTATCTGAATTTCTAAATTATCAAATTATAGATTTTTTATTTGAAAATTAATAGATTTGAAAATGAAAATGTGGAGCTTGGAAAGTTTTAAATTCCTAAATTTCCATCTTCTCAAATTTCCAAATTCTCAAATTTCCAACTTCTCGAATTTCCAAATTCTCAAATTTCCAACTTCTCAAATTTCCAACTTCTCAAATTTCCAACTTCTCAAATTTCCAAGTTCTCAAATTTCCAAATCTCCAAATTTCCAAATACTCAAATTTCCAAATCCTCAAATTTCCTAATTCTCAAAGTTTCAAGTTCTCAAATTTCCAACTTCTCAAATTTCCTAATTCTCAAAGTTTCAAGTTCTCAAATTTCCAACTTCTCAAATTTCCAAATTCCCAAATTTCCAAATTTCCAAATTCTAAATTACTCTATTCCCAACTTTCAAAATCCGAAAATCCCAATAATTCCAAATTCTTCGCATTCCCCAAATTCCCCAAATTCCTAGTTTTCCAGATATTGGCATTCGCAAATTAAGTCTCCAAACTCCCAAATTCCAAATTTTCCACTTCCCAAATCATCAAATCTAAAAATTCCTATATTGCCAAATCCCTAAACGTTAAAAACTCCTCAAATGTCTGAAATCCACAAATTATCAAATTTCTAAATTTTTAATTTCCTAAACCTAGTTCAGCTTACTGGCATAATGTAAACAATCTCTTATACTACATATGTAACACCCTGTATAAGCGAACAAGGTGTTAATAATATAGACGTTAAATCACTATAGAAATTTAAGTGACAGCCATATAAATGGTTGACACGGTATTTAAAGTGTTAATATACAGTTAGAAAAAAATAATACTTACTGGCTAGTGTAGCGAGGGCAACTTTCCCTATCAGAGCGGTGCTGTACGAGATAACAACTCGTTTCGCCGAGGAAGCCATTGCCAATTGCAGTACGGCAAGTCCTACCAGAATTGCTAGAAGTGCAGATGCAGTTGCTGCTGCTAATCCTGCCATCCATACAGCCACTATAAACAAATGATAAAAAATTCATTTCACATCTTGAATTTCACATTAAATTTTTTATAATTCATGTAATTCATATAATTCATATAGTTCATATAGTACATATAATTCATATAGTTCATATAGTACATATAATTCATATAATTCATACAATTCATATAACTAATTTTGTTAACAATACTCGAATAAAATTTAAGAATTTTTTTAAAAATCTATGTAAATGTCTTGTTTTTTTTATGCAATATCATACTATCATCTTGAATACTATCTCTTAAAACAATAAATTTGAAAGAAATTCCAGCAATTCAAATCTTACAATTAATTGAACCTTCAGAATTTTAATTTTATATAAAATAGAAATTTTTGTTATAGTTGTACTATATTATTGGAGTCATTTTTTCGCTCTTGTTATTACAAGTACATAACTTGTTTATTTTGAATGTGAAGCAAGTTCATTTTTAAAAAAAGTTAAAATAATGATAACAATAGATGAAATTTAATATGATATTTTTATCTGTCAGCAATCTATATGCAAAATATCAATTAATATTTAATATTTATTATTTAATATTTATTAATATTTATTGTTTAGTGTATTTAAAAGTTTGAAAGAGTTTAAAAGAGTTGAAAAATATTGTTGAACGCGTTTGAAGAGAAACGAATCGATAATGTAGGAAATGAACTCACACACTGGTTGAAACCTGGAGACGCCGTGACCACATCTTTCCCTGCCATAAAGCAAGAGTTTGCACTGCCTCCAGGGGCCAAAGTATCCCTTCTCGGCTGCTGAACCAGCTGTAAAATAAAGAGAGAACAACTCTTCAGTTATCATAAAACAAATAGTTAATATTACTTTTTTTGTGATTTATAGAATCATATAGATATAGAAATCAATTCATATATTATTTATATCGTGGTTATATCCATGCATCTTTACATTCCCAAATATGTAGACAATCAAATTGCTAAATTTCCAAATCCCAGGTACTCAAATTCCTAAATCCCCAAAGTCCTACATCCTCAAATACCTACATTCTTATATTCCTTCATCCTCCAATCTTTACATCCTCAAATCCCTACGTCCTTCAATTTTTACGTCCCTAAATCGCAAGATTCCAGAATTTTTACATCTTCAAATCTCTAGATCTACGAATTGATAAATTCCCAAATTGCCAGGTTTTCAGATTCCTAAATTCTCAAATTCCTACATTCCCAAATCTCTACATCTCCAAATTGCTATACCCTGAAATCTCTAAGCTTCCAAGTTCTTAAATTTTGAAATCCCTACATCCCCAAATCCCTACGTCTCCAAATTCCTACATTTCCAAATCTCTAAAGTTCCAAATCTCTAAAGTTCCAAATCTTTAAATTCCCAAATCCCCACATTCCCAAATCTCTATGTCCCCAAATTCCTACATTTTCAAATCTCTAAAATCCCAAATCTCTAAATTTCCAAATTCCTAATTTCCCAAATCCCTACGTCCCCAAATTTCTACATTTTCAAATCTCTAAAGTTCCAGATCCTTAAATTCCCAAATCCCTACATTTCCAAATTCCTATGTCCCCAAATTCCTACATTTTCAAATCTCTAAATTCCCAAATTCCTAATTTCCCAAATCCCTACATAGCCAAATTCCTACATTTCCAAATCTCTAAAGTTCCAAATCCCTAAATTTCCAAATTCCTAATTTCCCAAATCCCTACGTCCCCAAATTCCTACATTTTCAAATCTCTATACCCTTAAATTGCTAAACTCCCAAATCCTCAGGTCCCCAAATTCTTAAATTTTGAAATCACTACATCTCCAAATCCCTACGTCCCCAAATCCCTGCACCCCCAAATCTCTAAATCAACAAATCACTAAATCCCCAAACACCTACACCTCCCTATATTCTTGATTTCCTACAACCTCTAATTTTTACATCCCTAAATCGCTAGATTCCCGATTTTTTACCATCTGGTCCTCTGTTAGATCTTACAATGCATAATATAGTGAGAGAATTAGCTTCAGTACAAGTTTTCAGCAATTGTATATACAAGATTTAGCGGTATAACAATTTAACGATTTTTCCTTCACACTTTTACTTTCAATTCAATTCTTCACTCACAGCAGCAAGACCCTAGAAATCATAGTATTCTAGCGAGTTTTCTTTTATTGTGAGTCGCATCTGGTTGTGAACCCTTGACAGTGAAATCTTTCGTTTGCAGTTTCCTATTCGTATCGAAGTATTGCTTGCTCTACTGCTACGGTCACTTTGGGTAAAGACCCACTTTATACGTCACTTGCCTTTCCATCTCCACCCGAACCTTAGCTAAACCAATAAAAAATCAGAAACCGTTTTCCTTCATCAATGTCACAAAAATTGATCTTTCTGATCTTTCAGAATCATTGACCCACTCTGATCTTTCATAAAACGTAAATCTTCGAAGAGACACTTTCAAGTCATCAAGTACATAGCAAAGTAAACTCTAGTCAAAGTGAAATTCATTTAGATTATATTCATTTATTGGGAATCCTAATGAACTCTTACTTAAACGAAACTAACAATACGAAAATATGTTACTTACAAAAGTTATCAAACTTAGGAAACTGCATAATGCCATATAAATGATGTTCTTGTAAGTGGAGGCGTAGTTCTGTTTTTTTGAATGGAATGTCTAATTTTTTATGTGGACAAATTTAAGAGGACACAGTTCGTGAGACACACTGTACATCTATTCTTGTATTCAAAAATATTATTCAATTACAGAAATAAATTACTTTCCAAATTTTATCAGAGGTTTGAACGCCAATTGTGTTTTCGGTTCAGCTTGACCGCGTCACTTAACAAATGGAGAGTCATTCAGGCAGAAAGAAAAGCACTCGGACAGGAAATGGCACAATATACATTCAATAGAATTCCACGTGGTCACTCCATGGAATCCTTTCTTGTTTTCCTGCTACCTAATCAAGATCTCCGAGCGATGTAATGAGTATCATCCGACCGAACAAACGAGACGTCCAATTTATCAGCGAGGAACTTTTTCGCGAAGCATCACGCGAAGATCAATTACCAGAGCAATTTCGCGCTAGAATTCGCATAATCATCGTTAAGAATGCTTTTATCAAAAATTCTTCTTATAAACGAGACGCGTATTCCTAGGCAATCTATTAGAAAGTATAATGAAAAATTACTGTGAGTATCGTGAAAGGCTGTGTAATGGAATTACTCGGAAGGAGTATTGTACGAATAGAGAAATGGTGCAAAACACAAATTTTCAAGTTCTTGAATGATGAAATTCTTGTATTTTCATATTCTTAGATTATCAAGTCTTAATTTCCGAATTTTTAATTTTTAGATCTCTCAATCTCCAAGTACCCAAATATCACAAATCTTCCAAATTCTACAGGATTCAAAATTCTCAGATTTGGAAATCTCTAAATTCTAAAATTCTTAGTTTTTTCTATAGCCAGATTCCCTAATTCCCAAATTCCCAAGTTCTAAGTTTCGTAGTCCCCAAATTTCAAAGTTTCCATGTTCCTAAATTCCAAAATTCCCAAATTTCTGAATTTAAAATTTTTAGATTCCCCAATCCTTAAGTTCCCAAATACCCAAGTTCCTAGATTCCCCAAATTCCGCAAATTCCTCAAAGTCCCGAGATTCCCCAAATTCCGCAAATTCCTCAAAGTCCCGAGATTCCCCAAATTCCACAAGTTCTCCAAACTCCTTAAATTTCCTAAAATCCCTAAATTCGCCATATTCCAAAAATCCCTAAATTCTCCAAATTCCTCAAATTCTCCAAGAACCGCAAAATCCACAAATTTTCCAAAACCTGCAAATTCCCTAAAATCCCCAAATTCTCCAAATTCTCCAAATTTCCAAAAATCTCCAAATCTTCCAAATTTCCCAAATTCTCCAGATTCCCCAAATTCTCCAAATTTCCAAAAATTCTCAAATTCCCCAAATTCCCCAAATCTCTCAAATTTCCCAAATTTCCCAAATTCTCCAGATTCCCCAAATTCTCCAAATTTCCAAAAATTCTCAAATTCCCCAAATTCCCCAAATCTCTCAAATTCCCCAAATTCCCCAAATCTCTCAAATTTCCCAAATTTCCCAAATTCTCCAGATTCCCCAAATTCTCCAAATTTCAAAAAATTCTCAAACTCCCCAAATTTCTCAAATCTCTCAAATCTTTCAAATTTCCCAAATTTCTCGAATTTCCCAAATTCCCCAAATCCTCAAATTCTCAAGCTCCCAAACTCCTAAATTCATATTTCTTCGTTCTCTGTTCTTTTTTTCGTTTGAACTTAATCATTGTAAAAAGTATACGATATAAGCGAAAGTTCAGCCCCGCAAGATTCACTTATATCTAGACATTACTAATTATTAACATTAATCGTGAGTTTCGCATAAAATCAATTCCTAAAAGAAAATAAACAAACATACTTAACTTGCATAAACCCCATAATATTTTATGTTAAACTTCATCAACATAATAACTACACCAAATAACTAAAAGTTTAGATCACGAAGATTCACGCATATCAAGACATCACTGCACATTGCATTCGAATCGATATGAAGCATTCTTCTCTGCGTGTTTTAAATTATCCTAATAAAAAAAAATATTGAACTCGCCAGAGCATGTACAAAGAAAAATGGAATCTTTACGGCAACGCGGTTGCGTGGCTTGCACGAGTTCAACGATGTATAGAACCAAGTAAGTGGAGCACAGAACGAACAACGCGTGATGCTTGCAATTTTGTTGAAATTCTACTTTGTCTATTATTAAATTTTCCTCGATGCGGAAACGTTTATGATTTACGAGCTATGGTTTCGAGATGATTAAGACGGAAATCCGTTTACAAAAGTGGAATCATAAATTGTTGAATTTTATTTTTATACTTCGAGATCGGTACATTAACCAAATATTTATACAAGGTTTATATCCACCATTTTGAAATAGTGGTACACATACATTTCCAAAAGTTGGAGATCAAGATGAAATCAAAGTGGATCAATATGGTAAAATACGAGTCAGTAAAAAATGTGTAATAGAGTTTATTCATATATGGCATTGTTTTTGAGAAAATTGAAATCGAACATATTTTAAGTATTTCTAATATAGTTTATTCTACATATATCTCCAAACCTCTACTACACCTTCAACTCGCTAAATACTTAAGTACTCAGGTTCTCAAATTATTAAATTCTGAAGTTCCTACATGTCCACATCTCTAGACCATCAAACTAATACATTCTCAAATCTCCAGGTTCTTAGATTCCTAAATCTCCAAATCCCTAAATCTCCAAATCTCTACATCCCCAAGTGTCTATATCCACAAATTTCTGCATCCACAAATCCCTATATCCATGCATCTTTACATCCCCAAATATATGGACAATCAAATTGCTAAATTTCCAACTCCCCGGGTACTCAAATTCCTAAATCCCTAAAGTCCTACATCCTCAAATGCCTAGATTCTTGTATTCCTTCATTCTCCAATCTTTACATCCCCAAATCCCTATATTCTTCAATTCCTACATCCTCAAATCTTTATATCCCCAAATTTCTAGATTCCCGAAACTCTACATCCACTAATCTCTACATCCCCAAATATCTAGATCTCTGCATTCTTACATTTCCAAATCTCTAGATCTAGGAATTGATAAATTCCCAAATTGCCAGGTTCTGATTCCTAAATCTTCAAATCCCTACATTCACAAGTTTCTACATTCCCAAATTTCTACATCCCCAAATCTCTACATCCCCAAATTCCTATATTTCCAAATCTCTAAACTTCTAAATCCTTA